AAGGGCCTGGTACCCCATACTCCCAGAGTACCTCCCACAGGGTTCCCCGAGGGATGTGGTGGAACGCCTTCTCCAAGTCCACAAAGCACATGTAGACTGGTTGGGCAAACTCCCACGCACATTCCAGGACCCTGCTGAAGGTGTAGAGCTGGTCCATTGTTCTACGACCAGGATGAAAACCGCACTGCTCCTCGTGAATCCGAGGTTCGACTATCCAACGGACCCTCCTCTCCAGAACTCCAGAATAGACCTTACGGGGGGGCTTAAGAGTGTGATCCCCCTGTAGTTGGAACACACTCTACGGTCCCCCTTTTTGAATAGGGGGACCACCACCCTGGTCTGCCAATCCAGGGGAACTTCCCCCGATGTCCACGCAATATTGCAGAGTCGTGTAAGCCAACACAACCTTACAATATCCAGAGCTTTAAGGAACTCCAGGCGAATCTCATCCACCCCTGGGGTCCTGCCACCAAGGAGCTTTTTAACCACCTCGGTGACCTCAGCACCAGAGATTGGCGAGCCTGACCCAAAGTCCCCAGGCTCCGCTTCCTCAGTGGAAGACGTGCCGGTGGGATTGAAGAGGTCTTCGAAGTACTCTGCCCACCGACCCACGACATCCCGAGTTGAGGTCAGCAGCACACCACCCCTACTATAATAAGTGTTGGTGGCGTTCCGCTTTCCCCCCCTGAGACGCCGGATGGTGGTCCAGAATCGCCTCAAAGCCGTGCGGAAGTCATTCTCCATGTACTCTCCAAACTCCTCCCATGCCAGAGTTTTTGCTTCCGCAACCACCCGAGCCGCATGTCGCTTGGACTGCCGGTACCCATCAGCTGCTTCCGGGGTCCCACAGGCTAAAAAAGGCCCGATAGGACTCCTTCTTCAGCCTTACAGCATCTCTCACCGACGGTGTCCACCACCGGGTTTGAGGGTTGCCGTCGCGACAGGCACCAACAACCTTGCGACCGTAGCTCCGGTAAGCCGCCTCAACAATAGAGGCATGGAACATGGCCCACTCGGACTCAATGTCCCCCACCTCCCCCGGAACATGTTCGAAGTTTCCCGGAGGTGGGAGTTAAAACTCAGTCTCACAGGAGACTCTGCCAGACGTTCCCAGCAAACCCTGCCAGACGTTCCCAGCAAACCCTCACAACACGTTTGGTTCTGCCACGTCTGACCGGCATCCTCCCCCACCATCGGAGCCAACTCACCACCAGGTAGTGATCAGTGGACAGCTCCGCCCCTTTCTTCACCCGAGTGTCCAAGACATGTGACCGCAGATCAGATGAGACGACGACAAAGTCGATCATCGAACCGCGGCCTTGGGTGTCCTGGTGCCAAGAGCACATATGGACACCCTTATGCTTGAACATGGTGTTCGTTATTGACAATCCATGACGAGCACAGAAGTCCAACAACAGAACACCACTCGGGTTCAGATCAGGGGGGCCATTCCTCCCAACCACACCCCTCCAGGTCTCGCTGTCATTGCCCACATGAGCATTGAAGTCCCCCAGCAGAACAAGGGAGTCCCCAGGAGGTGCACTTTCCAGTACCCCTTCCAAGGACTCCAAAAAGGGTGGATAATCTGAACTGCCATTTGGTGCATAAGCACAAACGACAGTCAGAACCCGTCCCCCCACACGTAGGCGGAGGGAGACCACCCTCTCATTCACCGGGGTGAACCCCAACACACAGGCACCAAGATGGGGGGCAATAAGTATGCCCACTCCTGCTCGGCGTCTCTCACCAGGGGCAACTCCAGAGTGGAAGAGTGTCCATTCCCTCTCAAGGAAACTGGTTCCAGAGCCAGAGCCATGCGTAGAGGTGAGTCAGACTATTTCTAGCCGGAACCTCTCAACCTCACACACCAGCTCAGGCTCCTTCCCCACCAGTGAGGTGACATTCCACGTCCCAATAGCCAGCTTCTGTAGCTGAGGATCAGACCGCCAGGGTCCCCGCCCTCGGCCACTACCCATCCCACATTGCACCCGACCCCTTTGGCCCCTCCCACAGTTGGTGAGTTCATGGGAAGGGGGACCCACGTCTCCTCTTTGGGCTGTGCCTGGCCGAGCTCCATGGGTAAAAGCCCGGCCACCAGGCGCTCGCCCGCCTGCCCCACCTCCAGGCCTGGCTCCAGAGTGGGGCCCCGGTGACCCACGTTCGGGTGAGGGAACATCAAGTCCATTTATTTTACTCATCATAGGGGTCTTTGGGCTGCACTTTGTCTGGTCCCTCACCTAGGACCTGTCTGGCTTGGGTGACCCTACTAGGAGCGTAAAGCCCCTGACAGCATAGCTCGTAGGATCATTGGGACACCTGAATCTCTGTTAAGAAGAAATAAAGGAGCTTTGAGCTGCAACATTACTTTTAGTGTTTCCAGGTCTTTAGGGGAAGGTTTGGTCTTCATGGTGTCTGCCTACAAAGAAGAAAATCAACAATTTAACCAAGACAGTGTCAAGAAGGCTCATTTTATAATTCAATCAAAACATAAGATTATTAAAATGTTACAGATTCAGATTTTGGGACTTCCTTAGGCAACTTTATTTAAACAACTATTTCATATTGGACAGTCATTATGCTTATTTACTGCAAAAAATGTAAATTGTACATTGTTTAGCTCAAATCAAATATAGTTTATTCCATCTAAATTGTTCATATTAAGCTCGAAAAAGTGGTAAAATGTGTCTTTTATTTGACACAAAAGGACATTGATAGTTGGACTTTGTTCAAAACATCTTTACACAATGCAGCACGGTGGCACAAATGGTAGAGCTGCTGCCTCTCAGCGAGCAGGTCTCTGATTCAAATCCCGGTCCGGGGGCCTTTCTGGGTGGAGTTTGCATGTTCTCTCTGTGCATGCGTGGGTTTTCTCTAGGTACGCCAGTTTCCTCCCACAGACCAAAAACATGCATGTTAGGCTGATTGGTAACTCTAAATTGTCCCTAGGTGTGAGTGAAAGAGTGAATGGTTGTTTGTCTCGTTTGTCTCTATGTGGCCCTGTGATGGACTTGCGACCCCGCCCCTTGCACATTGATTGCTGGACATGGGCACCGGCTACCCCTGTGACCCAAAATGGAAGAAGCGGGTAAAAGATAACGGTTGGATGGATCTTTACACATTGTAAAAAATATCAGGCACTGATTAGAGCAGGAATAAAACAATGTTGGCTGCCATGTAATAAAACAATAACCACTGATTCTGTTAAGTGTTCAGTAAATCCAATCATACACAGACAGAAGTATTACCTGACCTCATGCAGCTACCCTGTCAGTCAAAACTTATGTTCATTTATAACAAACCCAGCCAACTGCAGCAAAGAGGACACACCAACACTGAAACAAACCAAAAACTGCGAGAAACAGCTCTGATCAAGTCTTTTAGACAGACAAGCCTGATTAAATCCATATTAGGAATAAATAGTATTAATTAGAGTTTAAAATTATACCTCCCCAGTCCCCACTATTTATCTGCGTTGTAATTATCTTGCTGTACTGTACTGCAGTTTTATTGTTGCACTACATAAACTTACCACTAGAAGCAGCTTGTTGTTCTGGAGCAGGGGTGTGCAATTATTTTTTTCCATGGGGCCACATGAGAAACAGAAAATATTGTGGAGTGCCGGGCCAAATGACTTAACTATATACTGCATAATAAATACTGTGTATCTGAATATTTATAATTTCTAATATACAAAATAAAATTTACAACTTGTAACTTTGAAATACCCATATATAAATAATAATTTATATATAATTTAATTTATCATAATAATAATTTGAAATTGCTTTACAATGTATCTGTTTTTGTTTACCATTTTATTTCATTCATTCTTCTCAATTTATATGCTTTTTTAAAAATGATTCTCTACTGTTGTCTTTGTTGTCTACTGTTGTCATCATTTTTTGTCATAAACAGGTTTCTCTTGTAAATGAGTCCCCGAGGCTCAATGACACTAACCTGTATAAATAAAGGTTGAATTAAACTTTGAAAGAATAACTTGATTAATAATTTGATTTCTGATTATTTCATGCTGCTGTATTCATTGGTACCCATCTGCTCACGCAGACTCATGTTCGTGTTGCTGTTGTTATGCTGGATTGTTTTGCATTATTTGTGTTTAGCGTACATCTTAGATCTTTTAGCGTACCGTTTGGCATTTGTTTAGCGTATATCTTAGTGTATTTCTCAGATCTTTATTTACCGTTTCTTTTTACACTTTATATTTTTGCTATTGTTGGATGTAACTGGGCCCCTGTGTACACAATTTCATTCCACCTCATGTACCACGTGATGAAATGACAATAAACCTACTTGCTTGTTATTTTATTTTTCCAATTTAAATAAACAGTTTAATAACTTTTAATATCAGTCCCAAGTCTGTAGCTGTGGTCGTCATGGTGATGATAGCACACAGAGTGCTAAGATCATCCCCAGTGTTTAACATTTTTTAATCTGAATTCCAATTATATTTGAAATTCTGAACTACATTATATTGAAACACATGAAGACCTGTATGAAATGTTAATGGAATTGCCCACCAACGCATGTTGATTCTAATCCTAAAACATATACCCCCTTGTTGTAGTTTATTATATTTTTTCTTTTTTTTCTTCTTCTTTTTTTCATGTCGAAGTCTGCCTCTGCTATGTCCTTTTTTAGAGTTACATAATTGTTTTTACTTGTTTTTGCGAAATTGTTTTCTTAAAAAAAAAAAAAAAAAGTTGTATGTAGGAACTTTTGATGATAGCAGTCTGCGCTTCATCGAACAGTTTTAGGGGTAACACAGGGGCTGTGCTCCGGCGGTCTTTTTGATTCTAGATTTGTTTAGCATTGCCTAACAGGTAATATTTACTCGACGCAACTAAAATAAAATATGAGCAAGGGACGCTTGTTTTGCGTGTTTTCAGAACCATAAGATACAGTTTTTGAATTTATAAGCAGAGTTACGTAATGCGCGTGCATGCTACGTTAAATAACGTTCGTTTCTTCAAAACCAGAAGAAGTGCAACTTCAGGCTCAGTTCAGCCAGGAGCATGACCTCGGGTCCACTGAAAAAGAAAAGCTACTTGGGACAACACCAGATCAAAAAGAAGACAAGGTACGGTGAGATAGCAGTTATATTTGATTTCTTTTGATGATAGAAGATAAATGTCCCTGTTGTTTGAAAACATCTCCGTGCGTTTTAAAAACAGTCTCGTCGTAATATTCTGATGCATGCTCAATGGTCCAGGTAGGTAAATCTAACGAGGTCAAGTCGGGTCCTCTGGACGGATTCTTATTTGTTGATTCAAAGAAGAATCCGTTCAGAGGACCCGACTTGACCTTGTTAAATCTGTGATGATCTCTAAATCTGCCATGCTTGTGCTAAAACGATGTCTTTCTGAGCACAGCATTCTAGGTAATGATGAGCCACGTGATGATGGGAAAGTGTTGCAGACAACTTTTTTGTCAAACAAAACGCATAGCATCAACCAAAATATTATCTTGGTGAGTGGGAAGTCTTTGTACTCTCTTCTATTGCAACCCTTTTCAGCTGTGTTGCCCATCTAGACTAAAGAGAAGGCATAATGTTGTTTTCTGTTAGGGTGGAAGAGCTGCATTCCAGTTGGGAGAATCCACTTTAGCTCTTGATGAAGAGATCCTGCAGGTTTTGGATGCTGTTGATCCTGCAAATGCTATAACAGAAGAGGCTTGTTCTGTAAACACAGAAGAAAAAGCGTCATCAGCTGCTTCTACTCTTCCACGGCCCAGTGTACTGAATGCACTCAGTAAAAAGGACATGGTGCAGAAGAAGGATGGGGCATCTCTTCAGCACACATACGGAGTTTCTGGTCCTCAGCAGGGAGCTTGCCATCTTCTAGGGGATTCAAAAAGACCAGGATGGATACCTGACTGCAAAGATCTTGCTCAGAAGCTTCTCTTCTGTGAGGACTCTGGGGATGTGGACCAAGAAAACAACCACTCAAAACCTGCTTCTTCCTTTGTCAGCATTCTGCCTTGTCAGGAAACCCGAAACGATCTGAGAGCAGGCAGCTTCGACCAGTAAGTCCTGACTTACTTTTTACTGTCTCGATTCTTCTTCAGACGTTTCTGCATCACCCTCACTGTCTCTGTTTACAATTAGGTCAAAGCTCACAAGAAAAAGCTCTCCTAGCAAAAATGCTGAGCCATTTCTGGATGTATCCTCAAACTATGTCTTGTTCAGCCCTACACGACTCGCTGCAGCTACAAAGAGGGCCAAACTCCAGCAATCATTACATAATCTGTCGTCCTCTGTGCTCACAGTCCCCAGCGGCTTGGAGCCCAGCACGCTCAGTGACACGCCACCTCAGCCAGGTGAAGCGTTTTACACCACAGCTGCAAAACTTCTTCTTTTTGTGCTTTTGTTTGTACATTAGTTTTAATCCCTTTTTACATTGTGTCAGGTTAAGTTGGTCACAAAGACAAGGAGGAATCATGAGACTGTATCTGTTGTGCGGCACTTTGTAATAATATGCTAGTTCAGACATTAACAATTTGTTAGCACAAAGAAAAATTGAAAAGCAGGTTCAAAGCACAGACCTCTTTAAAATGGGGCTGAAAGAGTCTTATAGTGCATAGTGCATGAATTACGTGTTGTGGATTAGTCTAACCTATGGGCACACCAAATTTTAGCAAAAATTAATGAAATTGACTGAGTTGTAGCCAGTTTTGTGTTTTCTAAAGTTAGCTGGTTGTCTCTGCCATCTAGAATTCAATTTATTACACAATCTAATCACTTCTAATTAGGGGTGCACCAATAAATCGGCCCCGATTTCCTTCATTTTGGGAAATCGGAAATCGGCCGATACTTGCATGAAAAACCGATTTTACCGATTATTTTTGTTTGTTTGTTTGTTTTAACAACAATTGTCTGAACTTCATTTATATTTCAGAGCACTACATCATGGCCAGTTAAAACAAGTTTGTATTGTTTCTAGGATATTGTTTAAGGGTATGCTTTTCAACAAAATAATATTGGAAAATTGAAGGTGCATTGTGAACTTCTAACACCTGACATTGTCGCTTATAAAACAAAATCGGTATCGGCAGGTCAGACTTTTTAGAAATCCGTGATCGATGATTGGCCAGAAAACTGCAGTCGGTGCACCCCTACTTCTAATGGAACATATCTAATGGTTATTTTCTGAAAGTTTCATAAACCCTGTCCAGTTAATAGGCTATTTTGCTAACTAACAGATGTGACCCTAGTAGTTAACATGAAGTTGTCCATATGTTGTGCTCTTCTGCAGGGGTTACCCTGTGCTCTCCTGTCCATCAGGCTGAAAAGCTGCTGTTATCCAGCTGGGGTTTACCAAAGCCCGTTTTAGAGCGCTACCAGAAACATGGAGTCACTCAAATGTTTGAGTGGCAGACTCGGTGTCTTACTGCGGGGCAGGTGCTACAAGGGGGGAACCTGGTGTACTCTGGTAAGGAACATTATTCTAAAAAGTTATTCACAGAAACCTGTCTTTGTTGGCTTTTCTTTTTGGTTAATTCTTGATTATTATTTTTAATTAGCACCCACCAGTGCTGGCAAAACTCTGGTGTCAGAGCTGCTGATGCTGAAGCGCATACTGGAGACCAGAAGAAAAGCTCTCTTCATATTGCCATTTGTTTCTGTGGCCAAAGAGAAGATGCTCTACCTTCAGGTGATGAAAAGATGGACAGAACACACACATGCTTTGTACTCCTTTATGCTTCTCTGCAACTATCTACATTTTTATTTGCATGTCCTTCTTTGTAGAGTGTATTTGAAGAAGCTGGTGTTCGTGTGGAGGGCTACATGGGCAGCACATCAGCTGCTGGAGGCTTCACAACATTGGATGTAGCTGTTTGCACCATAGAAAAAGCAAATTCTTTAATCAACAGACTCATTGAAGAAGATAACATGGGTCTCTTAGGTATTACATCTGTTGTAACTGTACACAGATATAAAAATGTCAATTTTAAAGAAAGTTAGTTTGAAGATTTGCTTCAAAATCTTGTATGTAAATAATAATTTTTCTTAATGCACATATGGACTAACAGATTAAATGATAACTCAATAGAACATAGTGATATGTGAGTTGTTCAGTGTATTATTTCTGCTAGGAATGGTGGTGGTAGATGAGTTACACATGGTTGGAGATTCTGGAAGAGGATACCTGCTGGAACTGCTCCTCACCAAAATTCTCTACATTGCACAGAAGCAGAACAGCACAGGGTCTGTGTCCCTACCGTTGTTGTTGCAATCCTTTTAGTTTCTTTACAGAATGTGTTCATTGAGCTTTCTGCAGGTCTCTTTCCGACGGTATACAGATAATCGGGATGAGCGCCACTTTGCCCAATCTCTCTCTCCTGGCTGGCTGGTTAAATGCAGAGCTTTACCAGACAGACTACAGACCTGTGCCTTTGCAAGAACATCTCAAAGTGGGCTCTGACATCTACGATAAGAGCCTCTCTGTGGTGAGGCAGTTCACTCCTGCTCTCAGTGTCAAGGTAACTGGGATTATTAACAATTCAGAACTGATACAAAGCTTTCCAAAGATTACTTGAATTTTGTAAGGCACAGATTGGCTCACAAGTCGTTTAAACATCACAATCGTTTAACAACAAAACATTTTATATATTTTTTTAGTTCAGAATTTCTTCGTAACTTCTGATTCACATGTTGATCTTGTTTAAATTAAAATTCTTAAAGTCTTAGTCATTTTTAATAGAAAATGCAGTTTTTTATGATGAAATATTTTTGTATATATTTTTTTTTGACATAGTGGGTTTTTGTTGCCATTATGCTTGCAATGAAAACTCACTGTTGGAAATTCTATTTCGTATAGGCTTCGCCCTTTAAAGCTGTCGCTGGTGGGTTTATCCCGTCATGCAAAGTATTGCACTGAAAAAATTAAGTCCACGCCCACCTGTTGTGTGGGCCCCACCCGGTCCATATAAATTACATTAAGAGCGGGTAATCAGCTCCCATTTTTTCTTCAGCAAGCTAATAGCACTGTTAGAAGAACGAAGAAGGAAAGTTGTCCAGCTTGACCGGCACAACCTTTAATGCCAACCTCCTGACGTCCCGGTGAGTTCTTCCTCCCCGAGGAGAAGCAGACGAGCAGTTTCAAGGTAAGTGCCAAGGAATATTTTTTCAGTGGCGGGTCGCTACCCACTGGATGACGCCATCGACCCTTTTTTCTTTTTAACGCAGACTCTCGGAGCGAATCGGATGGTTCCTCCGGGACAGGCGACATCAGCAGCAGCCCTGGCTGCTCACTCCCTCCTGGAGAGCGTAGTGTCGGAACGAGGAGGGCTGAGCAGATGTTCACCTCCCCGGGCCTTTTCGCATCGGCGACCACACCGCTCCCAGCTGTCGGTGCCCTCCTCTCGGAGCTGCCCGGCATAATCCAGGAGGCGGCTGACATGAAGGGACTTTTTTCCGTCCCTCTCGTCCCCCCGCCCAGATCGGATGATCTAGCGGGAAGGTATTTGGCTCCATCCCGGCTCGCCGTCCTGATCCCATCTGGCCTTGTTTCCCAGCAATGAAGTCCTACTGGACCGAGGCTACAGCCGGACCTAGTAGACTGAGAGCGCCGGTTTCCACATTCGCGCCCATCACCAGAGTGGAGGGGTTTTACTGAGCGGAATTTCTCTCGGTGCCCCCCTGGAGCCAAGCCTGGCGGAGGCTATTGGAGCAAGATGTCCAGGTTGGACCAGCGTCCTGTGCCTTCGGGGAAGCATGACCAGACGGTGGCGTCGCTCCAACCGAGCTCACCAGTATGCGTTCCAGGCGGCCGCAGCGAACAATAACGTTGCGTCGCTGACGTACAGCATCTCAGAGGCTGGAGGGAACAGACCTGCCTCAGGAGACTAAAAGCTCCCTCTGCAAGGCGTCTGACGTCACCCTCAACCTGTGCGCCTCGTCTGCTGTCTGCCTGTCTCGCATCGCAGCCTGGATGACAATGGTTCAGAGGTCCACCTGGCTTCGTCACTCCCCCTCCCTGTCGAGAAACTGCAGATGGACTCGCTGGAGGGCCCCTTCACGACGGAGGCGCTGTTCAGGGCCAATTTCAAGGCCATGCTCGAGAAATCGAAGAAGTCAGAGGAGGTGTCGGAGACTGTGCACAATCTGATCTCCTCTCGCCCCCACGCCCGCTGGAGAGAGTGCCGTGGCTAGAGACAGCAGAGCGTGCCACAGCTGCAGCAGTGTCTTCTCGCTCTGCTCCGCGACTAGCCCCTCCTGTCAGAGTACAGCCCTCCTCATCCCGACAACCAGCGGTGCTGCTTTTCCCCAGAGAAGATTCAAATATGATTCATTGCGGAGGATGTGTGTGTGCATAATGATGGTTTGAGTTTTGGAATAAAACGTAAACATCATTCAGGAATTAAAGTGTCTGATTTCAGCCTGACTGTTAGTTCATATGATCTCACAGCGGCTTCTCCTCACACATCCTCCACACACAGCGAGCCGGTGTCCTCCAAACAGGTTTTTAATCACTGCAGCCCGAGAAAACACACAAAATGCGGGTGTGAGTGACACAGCAGCCAAAGTGAATGTTTTCAGCAGACCGAGTCCAGTGGGAAACCTCGCTCTCAGCCCAAGCTAGGTGCTGCCTCCTCTGACCGCAGCGGCGACAAACGCGCCCCCCGCGGCAGCAGCAGCCCTCACCTACACGGCTCCGCATGCCCTGGGGCGCGCGCGCCTCCCTTCAGCGCACGCCAGCTCACATCAGCAAGGATGTGAGCCCGCAGCCTGAGCGCAGCACAGAAGCGCCGCTCCCCCGTGGCAGCCCTCTCCTACATGGCTCTGTATGCCCAGGGGCGCGCGCGCCTCCCCTCAGCGCACGCCAGCTCACATCAGCATGGATGGTAGCCCGCAGCCTGAGCGCGGCACAGAGGCGCTCTAGACAGATGGATGAAACGTCTTATCAGCATGGGATACACGCTGCAGTTACAGCTCAAACCCCCCGTTTGGAGGAACTTTAGAGACGTTTCCTTCATCTCCAGAACAGATCTCGTTCCTCCACGCAGAAGTTCAGGAAATTCTGATAAAAAAAATTTAATTTCCAGGGTTCCAGAAGGAGAGGAAAACACAGGGTTCTACTCTCGTCATTTCCTGGTCCCAAAACGGACCAGAGGGATGAGACCCATCTTAGATTTGTCAATTTTCAACTGTGAGACAACATTCCATTCAAAATGCGTCGAGTCGGCTCTGCAGCTGCTACACAGAGCAGGGATGAGAATTCTGTTTTATCTGGATCATCTGTTGCTGCTGACCCGTTTTACAGACAGGTGGCAGCAGTGCAACTTGGGCGCTGACGTCACACCTACAAAATCTGGGCTTCACCATAACGGGGGAAGAGCTCAGTTCACCCGGCCCAGACGATCGGTTATCTGGGAGTGAAGCTAAACGCGGTCACTACGAGGGCTCGTTTATCTCAGACGGGAACCGAAGCTCTAAAGAACCAATTCCTCCATGTGAAGCCGGCAGAGTGATAACAGCTGTTTCTGTCATGAAGTTATTAAGGACATGTCGTCTGCTCACACGGTGAGACGCCTCCAGAGGTGGTTCGCTCATTTGCGTGTGGACCGGGTGAGGCAGAAGAGGCGGTTGATCGCTGTGTCCCCCTCTGTGAGAATCAACCTGAGACACTGGGAAACCCTCTTGTTCTGTCGGAGGGAGTCCCCGTCAGCAGACCTACGGTCACACGTGTCAGTCTTCACAGACGCGTCCCTGTCAGGCTGGGGAGGCACATGCATGTCTCGAGCTGTGGGGGAGCTGCGGCCACCCCACACAGCAGCTCATATAAATGTTTTGGAGTGTCGCACACCAAAATCTGCTCTCCATCAGAGCAGTGTACATCCCCGGTGTTCTGAACAGAAGGGCGGATGTGATGTCCAGGGGCGGTCCGCGTCACAGGGACTGGAGCCTCTATCCTGAGCTGATGGCTCAGACGTGGCAGAAATTTGGCAGAGCGGCCGTGGACTTGTTTCACACACCAGAGAACGCTCAGTGTCAACTATGGTTCTCACTGAGCCCGCTGGACGAACCACCGCTAGGGGTGGACGCGTTTGCTCACAGCCCGTGGCCTAAAATGCTTCTTTACGCATTTCCCCACTCCCTCTGATATCATGGTTTCTGAACCGAGTTAGGGAGGAGGGATTGACAGACCTCTTGGTGGCTCCCGAGCGCGTGAACGCCCCGTGGTTCCCAATTCTATGACGCCTGTTATCGGGGCGCCCGTGGAAACTGCCGTGGAGGGAGGATGCTCTCCTCCAGGCGGGAGGAACGATCAGGAGTTACCCAGAAATAGGCCAGCACCTTTGGGTCTGGCCGCTGAGCGGATCCGTTTTAGAGGATGGGTCTCTCTCAAGATGTGGTGTGCACGATCCAGGTTTCACGTGCTGCCTCCACCACAGCGCTGTACACATCAAAGTGGACAGCTTTTTCAGCGCTGGTGTACGGAGAATTGTGCAGAGGCCACCTCATGTCCACTAGATGGCGTGTTGTCCTTTCTGCAGCAGCTGATGGACAGAAATCTGGCGTTCAACACGATTAAAACGTACGCTGCAGCCATCTCTTCTTGTCACAAAGGTTTTGGGGACAGAACAGTTCTTAATCATCCGCTGATGAAGCGTTTTTTAAAAGGTGTACCGAGGCACAGGCCTTTATCATGCACACTTTCTCCACAGTGAGTTTTAACGCTGGTTCTGAGAGCCCTGATCAAAGCTCCACTCGAGCCACTAGATCAGGTTCCAATTAAGTTCTTGTCTCTTAAAACAGCCCTGCCGTTGGCTCTAACATCCGCTAAGAGGGTGAGTGATTTATTTGTCCTCTCTGTCGCTCCGTCATGTCTCAGAATTCAGGCTGATGGCAGCTCAGCTGATCTGAGAACTAACCCAGCGTTTATGCCTAAAATATCACGAGCTCAATTAAATCAAGAGCGATATCGTTGGAGGGATTCTTCCCTCCTCCCCACAAATTAGAAGAAGCATCATCTTGCCATCTTCTCTGCCCTGTGCATGCATTGACGTGTTACGTAGCACGCACGGCGGCACTGCGTCAGACTCAACATTTGTTTGTGCACTTAGAGACGCATCTGCAGGTCGCCCGTTATCCATCCAGCGCCTGTCACACTGGCTGTGTGAAGCCATTTCTGAAGCCTACAGAGCATCAGATTTAGAGCCTCCTGACAACCTCAAGGCGCATTTGACCAGAGGTATTGCATCTTCAACTGCTTTGCATAATGGTATAACCATGCAGGATATTTGCACTGCGGAGGTGTGGTCAACACCCTGTTCATTTATTCGCTTCTATTTACATGATGTGTCTGCTCGTTCCATGATGCATTCTGTCCTTAGTGCCTTACAGAATAAATACTATTGTTTCGTGGAATCTCGTTTAATCTCACATCTGACTGCATGCATTTACAGTGTGAGATGTTGTTATCAGTCACAGGTTATGACTGTTGTTCTTGTTCTTGTTCTATGCTCACTAATCAGTTTATGACTTCTGTCATCAATCAATTCATTTGATTAATAATCAGTTCACTTATTATTAATCTGTTCATATTGAAGAGCCGTGGATCTACTCTGTTCACGGCCTTTTTCAGCTTCTCCTCTTTCCCGTTGAAAACCTTTCCGGGTTGTTCATGCACTCGGAACGCGTAAACTACGCAGTGCGCGTCTGTGCATGGTGCACATAATTACGCAACGCTTATTTACGCTCATGGAGAGCTTAGTGACAAGATGTTTTTTGGGCAAGCGGACGCTTCTTATGGTGTTCGAATGGACCCAGTGAGGCGGAGACTACATCATGCTTCGCCCTTAACCCACCAGCAACAACTTTAAAGGGCGACGCCTATACGAAATAGAACGTTGGTTACGTACTGTAACCCCAGATTCTATGAGTATAGGCGTAGCCCTTTTAAGCGTCGGGCCTCACTGACTGGCTCCTAAATGGCTATTTGGGAGCCGATTACCCGCTCTTAACGTAATTTATACGGACCGGGTGGGGCCCACAAAACAGGTGGGCATGGACTTAATTATTTCAGTGCAATGCTTTGCATGATGGGATAAACCCACCAGCGACGGCTTTAAAGGGCTACGCGTATACTCATAGAATCTGGGGTTACAGTACGTAACCAACGTTTTATGTACCTTTTTTAATATATAAACACACATTTAAAAAAAAATTTTATTAAATTTTTTACAAAAAGTTGATTGCTGGCATCAATACAAATGTGCATTCATAAAAATGTGCTTTCAGTTAGACAAACTACAGTATAAAGGACAAACAAAATAAATGATAGCTTTCTGCTTTGTTTACATTTTATATTGCTTGACAACTACAAACCGGATTCCAAAAAAGTTGGGACACTAAACAAATTGTGAATAAAAACTGAATGCAATGATGTGGAGATGGCAAATGTCAATGTTTTATTTGTAATATAACATAGATGACAGATCAAAAGTTTAATCTGAGTAAATGTAACATTTTAAAGGAAACATGTTGATTCAAAATTTCACAGTGTCAACAAATCCCCAAAAATTTGGGATAAGTGGCTGGAAAAAGGAAATTGAGCATATAGTGAACAGCTGGAAGACCAATTGACACTAATTAGGTCAATTGACAACATGACTGGGTATAAAAAGAGCTTCTCAGAGTGTCAGTGTCTCTCAGAAGCCAAGATGGTAAGAGGATCACCAATTCCACCATTGTTGCACAGAAAGATAGTGCAGCAATACCAGAATGGTGTTACCCAGCGTAAAATAGCAAAGACTTTTAAGTTATCATCATCAACCGTGCATAACATCATCAAAAGATTCAGAGAATCTGGAACAATCGCTGTGCATAAGGGTCAAGGCCGTAAAACTCTACTGGATGCTCGTGATCTCCGGGCCCTTAAACGTCACTGCACCTCAAACAGGAATGCCACTGTTTTTTTTTTTTTCTTGCTACTCTACGGTGAAACCAGACGTGTTTTCCCTCTGCCCCCCCCCCCCCCACCCGCTTCCCTGCTGCGCTCTTTTGTCCTGTGAACCCTTAAAAAGCCTCTTTTTTTTTTTTCCTGCATACCTCTTAATTGAAAGGATCAGCTGGTCTCTCAACAAAATCGATCAACTTCTCCCGACAGGAGTCAGGGTAAGGAGGACACTCTGAACTCTAGAGGAAAAATTGGATTCATGATGATGACTAGAATCTACTGTTTGGGTTGGTGGAATCTGGTTGTCTACAAATTTGTGTGGAGGTGTTGAAGCTTGACAGTGCTCGGACTGAATGTGGAGCTGTGACAGGGATTTGGAGCAGCTGTATCAGGACTGTGATCTCCCTGGCAGCACTCATGAATGGTGGGAATAATCTTGGAGAAAGCTGTGAGCTCGACTTTGGAGTAAAGGATCAATTCGGCTGCTTTGGAGTTTCCATCAGAGAATATGTACCAGCGAGACTTTAAAGGCAGAAACAACAATTACGAGTTCTGCCTGACCCAAACTGTGGCCTTGATGCCGGACTTATCTCAACTCCTCCTGGAATGTTTTGAAAACAACAAAGATGCTTTGACTGTTTCCTCACCCCTCCCTTCCCCAAGGCCGTGGACATGTAACAGAACCTCAACTGAGCTGAAGATGAACGTCACCTCTTATCTGGACAATGGCTGGGGGGGGAGGGGGAATGGGGGCTCTGGACTATGCTACGACTTTCCCTTAAAAATTCAATGTTTTCACCACCTATATGTAAATGTATAACGTCTGTTTATGTTGCTTTGGTGTGTTAGGTTTTTTTGATGCCTCAAATTGTGCCCTGTCTAGGACATGGTGTGAGTGATATTTTTTTTATACATTCTCTCCTCATGTTTTCTTTCCTTTTCTTATCTAAGCAAAATATTATTCTGAATAAGAATAAGAAGGCCACGCTGATTATTTTAGCCGCAGCTTCGTGCACTCCGCCAATCTTCGGACGACTGTACGTACATATTCGCATTGTATCTCGGTGCAATGCCAATAAAGTTTATTCTGATTCTGATTCTGATTCTCACTGTCAAGGAAATAACAGAATGGGCTCAGGAATACTTCCAGAAAGCATTGTCAGTGAACACAATCCACAATCATGCCATCCGCTGTTGCCAGCTGAAACTCTACAGTGCAAAGAGGAAGCCATTTCTAAGCAAGCTCCACAAGCTCAGACGTTTGCACTGGGCCAGGGGTCATTTAAAATGGAGTGTGGCAAAATGGAAGACTGTTCTGTGGTCAGATGAGTCATGATTTGAAGTTCTTTATGGAACACTGGGACGCCATGTCATCCGGACCAGAGAGGACAAGTATAGCCCAAGTTGTTATCAAAGTTCCGTTCAGAAGCCTGCATCACTGATGGTATGGGGTTGCATGAGCGCTTGTGGCATGGGCAGCTTGCATGTCTGGAAAGGCACCATTAATGCAGAGAACTATGTTCAGGTTCTAGAACAACATATGCTCCCATCTAGACGTCATCTCTTTCAGGGAAGACCCTGCATTTTTCAACACGATAATGCCAGACCACATTCTGCAGCAATCACAACATCATGGCTACGTAGGAGAAGGATCCGGGTACTTAAATGGCCAGCCTGTAGTCCAGATCTTTCACCTATAGAGAACATTTGGCGCATCATAAAGAGGAAGGTGCAACAAAGAAGGCCCAAGACGATTGAACAGTTAGAGGCCTGTATTGGACATGAATGGGAGAGCATTCCTATTTGTAAACTTGAGAAACTGGTCTCCTCTGTCCCCAGATGTCTGTTGAGTGTTGTAAGAAGAAGGGGGGATGCCACACAGTGGTAAAAATGGACTTGTCCCAACTTTTTTGGGATTTGTTGACGCCATGAAATGTGGAAACAGATTTTTCTCTTAAAATGATTCATTCTCTCAGTTTAAACTTTTGATCTGTGATTTGTGTTCTATTCTGAATAAAATATTAGATGTTGGCACCTCCTCATCATTGCATTCAGTTTTTATTCACAATTTGTTTAGTGTCCCAACTTTTTTGGAATCCGGTTTGTATTTTAGTTGTGGTTAAATGTGTTTTTTGATGATCTTTTTCTTACGACCGTTAATATGAGTGCTTGTTATTTTTTGTTTAAAGGGCGATGATGAACACATCGTGAGTTTGTGTTATGAGACGGTGAGAGAAGGCCACTCTGTGCTCCTGTTCTGCCCTTCAAAGAACTGGTGTGAAAAACTGGCAGACATCATCGCTAGAGAGTTTTTTAACCTCAGACAAACTGGTAGGACTGAGAGTAAAACACGAAGGACATCATGTACTTGACAGTATAATTCAGAATTGACTGAATGAAAACAAACTTGGTGAAACGATTGCGTATGTTTCTGCAAGCTTTCATAAGCCCGTCGAAGGCCAACGTATTATGGTATAGTCTCCGTGCGCACATCTGTAATTTTTCTCTTGTTTCGCCTATAACTTCTGATCTGCGTAAGATAATTTAAATAAACTTCATACACATTTGTACCAACATTAAACAGCATGTCACATACACATTCCATCAGCCCAGCTCTAAGGTTAAGGTCAGAAATAAAGGTCAAAGGTTATACAATGTCTTTGCTTTTCTAGGCCATTACTATAGATTGTTCCTTTTTCAGTCTAGTAGTTTGTTGACAGGTGTATAGTACGCTGTATGTGGTACTCCTGTTTGCTTTGAGTTGGGTATTGTTTTTGAATAGAACGTGTCTAAAAGCTCTAATTGTGTTGTGTTTATTCCAGATGGTCTGGGTGAAGCTCAGCCTCAGCAGGTGGATCTGAATCAGGAGGGCCTGGTGGATGTTATGGCTCAGCTGAGGCGAACTCCAACAGGTTTAGACCCCACCCTGCTGCGCACTGTGCCTTGGGGGGTGGCCTTTCATCATGCTGGTGAGCACATGCACACTGCAGAATGCAACCTTCTTTTTAATCAAATACAATATGAACATAAGACGAGTTTTACTCTGCAGGGTTGACATTTGATGAGCGTGACGTGTTGGAGGGAGCGTTTCGTCAGGGCCTGGTCCGAGTCCTGGCTGCCACGTCTACCCTTTCCTCAGGGGTTAATCTTCCAGCTCGACGGGTCATCATCCGAACCCCGACATTCAATGGACGCTTGCTGGACCCACTCACTTACAAACAGATGGCAGGACGAGCGGGGAGGAAAGGAGTGGACACAATAGGTATGAAGGAAAGAAAGAGGATTATTCTTTATTTGTTACTTTTGGAGTTTTCAGTGTTTTGTCTCTTCCTGTACTGTAGGTGAAAGTGTGCTGGTGTGTAAACAGGCAGAGCGTCAGAAGGGTATTGGTCTTTTTAATGGGGCTCTTCAGCCAATCAGCAGCTGCCTGGTGAGAAGGGAGGGTGAAGGTGTGACCAGCAGCATGCTCAGAGCCATCCTGGAGGTACGATCAATGTCAAAATTTAAAATTCACACCGTTCAAGTTCAAGGTTCTTTATTGTCATTCACATCACATGTGGTACATGAGGTGGAATGAAACTGTGTACACAGGGTCCCATTCAATCTGCATGTTGTTGTTATTAATGTAGTATGGTAAGGCTAGGTTAGCTTCAGTTAGCTTAGGAGCTCCACTACAGTCAATTTTTAATAACGGGTTCTCACTTTTTCGAGCTACTTGACAGATAGGTGACAGTTACTGTGTTGTAGATGGTCTAATCAGTGACATGAGACGCTAATTTTCTTTGACCCATCAAAATGAATGTGGTCATTTATTAACAGAATCAAAATTTAACATCAAAACATTGTACACTTGATTATACTATCGGCTGTGATTAATAAAACTTGGCACGTTTTACTTAATAAAAACAACAGACATTTCTGAAGATATCTGGATTAATTACTGGCAAAATATAAGTTTGAAGATGGGAAATGAAGGAGTTTAAATGGAGAGAAAATGGATGGATGAGGATGTATGTCTGTAGACCAGAACAACACGCTCCTTTCAATCGCAGTTCGCCCGCGGTACACTGGTAGTGAAGCTGGTGACGACTCTTTACCTTGGCAGAGGATGAATCAGCTGCGGTCAAGAGGTCCCTGGCACGCTACCTTTCAGCGTCTCCTCGGGGCGGCTGCGACTCGGCAGAAGTCGTGAGATAATCCGTTCCACAGAACAAACTTCCTCAGAAGTTATAGGGCATTCGCCGGGTGGACTCACATGAGCTGTGAGTCCGTCAGAGGTTCCACTCAGATGTGGAAGGCTCCATAATCCCAACTAGACTCTGAAGAACTCCCAACTAACTCCAGCACTTCAGAACTTTCTCCAGGCCCTCCTCCGAACTAGAACCTTAACTAGGAAGTGTCGACTTTTAAAGAGTTCTGCTTCTGGCCACTTTTGGGAAGTCCTGATTGGTTGAAAGAACCAACAGGGGTGTGGTTTTAGTGACGTCAGAAGGTCATTACAAGTCAGAAAAACAGCGGAGATGTTTAGGAACAGACAGGGAAATGTTTTGACGAAGAGAGAAAAACGTTGGTTATGTACTGTAACCCAAGATTCTATGAGTATAGGCGTAGCCCTTTAAGGCTGTCGCTGATGGGTTTATCCCGATATGCGCAGCATAAGCACTGAAAAAATTTAGTCCACGCCAATTTAGTGGGCCCCACCCGGTCCGTATAAGTTACGTTAAGAGCGGGAAATCGGCTCCCAAATAGCTTTTTCTTCAGCCATTTAGGAGCCAGTGAGGCCCGACGCTTAAAGGGCTACGCCTATACTCATAGAATCTGGGGTTACAGCACGTAACCAACGTTCTATGTCGTATAGGCTTCGCCCTTTAAGGCTGTCGCTGATGGGTTAAGGGCAAAGCGGATGTGGTCCTCGCCTCACTGGGTCCATTCGAACACAGTAAGAAGCGGAAGCTTGCCCAAAAAACGTCTTGTCACTCAGCTCCCCATGTGCATAACTACGCGTTGCGTAATTATGTGCCATGCACAGACGCATGTTGTATGTGTATAACTATGCGTTCTGACAAAAACATGAACGCGCCGGAAATTTTCAACGGGAAGAGGATGTTGAAAAGAAGGGGGGAACAATGAACCAACTGGTTCATGGCTGAACAGTATAAACAGATCAATAACAATGAACTGATTATTGATCAAATGAACTGATTGGTAACAATAGTCATGAACTGATTAATGACAATAGAACCAAAATCACAGACACAACTTGTGACAGATAACAACATCTCACACTGCAATGCATGCAGACAGATGTGAGCTTAAACAGAGTTCCATGAAAAACAACAATATTCATTCTGTTAGAGCACTAAGGACAGAATGTGTCATGGAACGAGCCGTCACATCACGTAAATAAAGCGAATGAATGAGCAGGGTGTTGACCACGCAGCCGCAGTGCAAATGTCCTGCATTGACATACCATTATGCAGAGCAGTCGAAGATGCGATACCCCTGGTCGAGTGTGCTTTGAGGTTGACAGGAGGCTCTAAATCTGATGCTTGTAGGCTTCAGAAATGGCCTCACACAGCCAGTGTGACAAGTGCTGGGTGGATAACGGGCGACCTGCAAATGCATCTCTATAATGCACAAACAGGTGTTGAGTTTGACGCATTACAGCTGTGCGCGCTATGTAACACGTCAACGCCCGCACCGGACAGAGAAGATGAAAAGATGCTTCTTCTTCTGATCTGTGGGGGGGAGGGAAAAACCCCTCCAACGATATTACTCTTGATTTAAAAGAGCTCGTGATGTTTTTAGGCATAAAAGCTGGGTTTGGTCTTAAATCAGCTGAACTACCGTCAGCCTGAATTCTGAGACATGACGGAGCGACAGAGAGGGCAGATAAATCACTTACCCTCTTAGCGGATGTTAAAGCCAGCAGCAGGGCTGTTTTAAGAGACAAGAATTTAAGTGAAACCTGATCCAGAGGCTCAAATGGAGCTTTGATCAGGGCTCGCAGGACCAGCAATAAATCCCACTGTGGAGCAAGTGGGCGTGAAGCAGGCCTGCGTCTCTGTACGCCTTTTAGAAACCACTTCATCAGCGGGTAATTAAAAGCTGTTCTGTCTCTGAACCCTTCGTGGCAGGAAGAGATGGCTGCAGCATACGTTTTAATCGTGCTGAATGCCAACTTCCTATCCATCAGCTGTTGTAGAAAGGACAACACGCCGCCTAATGGGCATGAGGTGACCTCTACACATTTCTCTGTACACCAGCGCTGAAAAGCCGTCCACTTTGATGTGTACAGAGCTGTGGTAGATGCAGCACGTGAATCCTGGATTGTGCGCACTACCTCCTGTGGCAGACCCATCCTCTCTAAGCGGGACCGCTCAACGGCCAGACCCACAGGTGCTGGCCTATTTCTGGGTAACTCCTGATCGCTCCTCCTGCTTGAAGGAGAGCGTCCTCCCTCCACGGCAGTTTCCACGGGCGACCCGACAACAGACGTTGCAGGACTGGGAACCATGGTGCGTTCACGCGCTCGGGAGCCACCAGGAGAGCTGTCAATCCCTCCTCCTGAACTCGATTCAGGAACCGTAAAATCAGAGGAGGTGGGGGAAACGTGTACAGAAGCGTTTTGGGCCATGGGCTGTGAACAAATGCATCCACCCCCAGCGGTGGATTGTCTCGCGGGCTCAGGGAAAACCATAGTTGACACTGAGCGTTCTCTTGTGTCGCAAACAGGTCCACAGATGCTTTGCCAAACTTCTGCCACTTCTGAACCATCAGGTCTGGATGGAGGGTCCAGTCCGCGTGACGTGGACCACCCCTGGACATCACATCTGCCCCTCTGTTCAGAACACCGGGTATGTAAACTGCTCTGATGGAGAGCAGGTTTTGGTGAGCCCACCACAGTAGCTTTCGCGCAATGTGTAACATCTGGGCTGAACGCACACCCCCTGACGGTTTATGTACGCAGCAGTCAACATGTTGTCTGTGTGAATCAACACATGTTAATTCTGTAGCACGGGAGCAAAGTGTTGAATCACATTCAGCACTGTGCGACACTCCAAAACAATTATGTGGGCTGATGTGTGGTGGGGCCACAGCGCCCCTACTGCTTGAGATAGGCATGTCCCCCCCAGCCTGACAGCGACGCGTCCGTGAAGACTGACACGTGTGACATGGGTCTGCTGACGGGAACTCCCTCTGACAGAACCAGGGTGTTTCCCCAGTGTCGGAGGTCTGCTCTCACGGAGGGAGGGACAGTGATCACACGCAGACGCACAAACCACCTCTGGAGGCGTCTCATGTGTAACAAACCCAGCGGAACCACTGTGTGAGCTGATGACATCATTCCCAACAGCTTCATGACGGAGACAACTGTTGCCACTCTGCCAGGTCTTACATGGCGGAGTTGACTTTTAAAAGTGTCGAATCTCGTTTGTGATAAACGAGCCTTCATGGTGGTTGAATTTAATTCCACTCCCAGATAAACAATTGTCTGGGCCGGGAAAATCTAGCTTTTCTTCCAATTTATGGTGAAGCCCAGATTTAACAGGTGTGATGTCAACACCTGAGCCTGCATCAACGCCTCCTGTCTGGAGTGTGACAGGAGCAGCAGATCATCCAGGTAAAACAAAACTCTCATCCCTGCTCTGTGTAACAGATGCAGGGCTGTCTCCACACACTGAAAACGTACGATGACCGGCAGCCGTTGTACTGATACTTCATCCCCTGAAAGGAGAAAAACGCAGGAATTTTCTGTGTTTTGGGATGATCGGTATGCGTTTCTCTGGATGTTGTACAACAGCTGTCTGGTTGTCAACATGTGAAAAACGGTCTGTCCATGATCACCTTGTTGAAAAAAAAAACCAAACTGACAGATCCAAGATCGGTCTCATCCCTCCGGTCCGTTGGGAACCAGGAAGTAACGTGAGTAAAACCCTGTGTTTTCTCTCCGTTGGGGAACTCTGGAGATTACTTTTATCAGAAACACTTGGACTTCTGCATTTAGGGATGAGATTTGGTCTGATGATGACAGGACCGTTTCTATAACTCCTCCGAACGGAGGGGGTCGGGTTGCAAACTGTAACTTGTAACCATTTGCATAACACCCTGTCCATCCATCTGAACGGCAAGCATGTTTTAGCCACTCTACGTAACGTTCGTGGAGTGAACGTGCGTTTAAGTGATGCGTCACGTTTTGTACGGCTGTCAGCAGTCCGCCCTTCAACCGCCGTCATGCGTCGCGGGAATGTTTTCTGCGTGACCCAAGGCGAGGCTTCCTCGAAAAAAGGCTCTGAACGCGCCCGTGCGCTATGTTCGGACCGCGGACCAATCTTCATGTACAGGTGGGCCGGTGTGCTGAGGCGAAGCGTGTGACAGCTGATGACGCCGTGGGGCTGCGCGTTTGACGTCGCTGTGCAAACGTTGAGAGGCGGAGGGCGTGACTTCATCTACGCCGTGCTGTTGGAGTGAAGGCTGCAAGCCCCGCGGGAGCACACGTTTTCTCTGGAGGGACGTGCGCCGCTCTCGCTGGAGGGAGGCGGGACTCGTCACCGGGTTCGTTCAGCTGCCTCACGCTTATGCTGCCGTGAGCTGCCGAACGTAGAGACGCGGAGAGTGACGGCTGCCCGCGTTTGATTCGGTGAGGCGAGTGTCGCTCTTGTGAGAGCGAGGACCTCCACCTGACCCAGCCTGCGGTCCACATTTATACCGATGTGAGCCGGTGAGCACCGGGCAACTGTGTGTGTGCGCCAACATCAACGCAGCGCCGTTGGATGGAGGCTGTTTCATCCCACGAGTGCGATTTTGACACCGCTTGGGTGAGGATCATACCGCTCGGGATGATAACGAGTTATTTTCGCTTACCATTGTGTCGTGTGATCGACTCGTCATGTCTTGGAGTGACGGTGAGTTTAAAAAAAACTTTATTTAAGGACACCGGCTCGTTATGTGTGGAGGATGTGTGCGCAGCCGCTGTGAGTTCATCCGAGCTTACAGACTGGCTAAAAACAGACATTTTGATCATTGAATGATGATTTATTTCAACTTTCATGTTACTTTTACACACACCCTCTGGAGACCGTCATTTTTAAAACTTCTCCCTCTTGAGCTCTGCGATTTGTTTGCCCAGAGCGCTGTCTTGCAGGCGAACTCTGGGGAAACGCTGAACTGCAGGTTGCCGGAATGAAGAGGGCTGGATTCTGACGGGCGGGGCTGGTGGTGGAACTGAGCGAGAGCCGCGGCCGTGGAAACGTCGATGCTTGCTTGCAACGGTCCCTCCAGCGGGCCGGGGGGCGGGATGAGCCGCATGGCTTGATGAGGTGGCGCACAGCCTCTGGCACCTCCTCCGACTGCTTCAATTCGCCAGCATGGTTTTGAAGCTGCTCTCGAACAGCGCGTCCGCCGTGATGGGCCCTCCATCAGGTCTTTGTACAGTTTCTCCGGCAGCGAGGGAGAGAACGAAACCAGGTGGATCATTGGATCATCGTAATCCACGCTGCAATCCTCGACAGGCAAACCGTAGAAGAGGCACACATGTTGAAGATGACGTCTGCTGCCTTACAGAGGGAGTTCTTTGTCTCCAAGGCAGGTCTGTGGCCTTCAGCCCCTTGGACATGCTATATGCTAGCAGCGCCACGTTGTTGCTAGCTGCGGCTGCCTGAAAGCACATTGATGGGCTCGATTGGAGAGCGTGGTCACCGTCTGGTTCGTGTTTCTCCGGAGGGACGGGATGCTGCTCCGACCTGGACAGCTTCGCTCCGAAGCTTCCGCGAGGCTTGGCTCCAGGGGGGTTACCGAGGGATAGCCCCGCTCGGTGAACCCCTCCACTCTGGTGATGGGTGCGGACTGGGGACTGACTCCCCCAATCTACCAGGAAAAAACCCGTCTGTGGCCTCGCCCGTAGGACGTCCTGTTGGGAGCACGAGGCCATATGGGTCAAGACGGTGAGCCGTAATGGAGTAAACAACCTTCCCGCCGGATCATCCGAACTGGCGGGAAAGGCGTAGGACGTAAAAAAGGGTCCTTTCATGTCAGCCTCCTCCTGGGTTACGCCGGGCAACCCCTGAGGGCGCCGTCGGCCGGGAGCGGTGTGATCGCCGATGCGAAAACGAAGTGGGATGGGGTGAGCATTCACTCAGCCCCCCTCCACCGACACTACGCTCCCCAGGAGGGAATGAGCAGCGGGGGCTGCAGCTGAGCACGCCTGTCCCGGAGGAACCATCCGATTCGCTCCAAGGGTCGGCGATAAGAGGAAAAAATACAAGATGGCGTTGTCCAGCGTGTAGTGACCTGTCACTGGGAAATATTCCTCGGCGCTTACCTTGGAATAGGACTGCTCGTCATCTTCTCCTCAGGGAGGAGAACTCACCGGACGACCGGAGGTCGACTGCCAGGCCAAGCATCCTTAACAAAGGTTGGTCATCTACAAAATTTTCCTTCTTTGTTCTTCTGACAGTGCTATATTAGCTCGCTGAAGAAAAAATGGGAGCCGATTTCCCGCTCTTAACGTAATTTATATGGATCGGGTGGGGCCCACACAGCAGGTGGGCGTGGACTAAATTTTTTCAGTGCTTATGCTGCGCATAACGGGATAAACCCATCAGCGACAGCCTTAAAGGGCGAAGCCTATACGACGTAGAACTAGAGGTGTCAGTTCTCTTGTTCCTGTCTGAGAGGTTTAAAAACAAGACAGTTCGTTTCAATAACTTGTTTGCGACTGTCTCCGACTTTTGACCGACATCACACCTTTCTCATTTCAGACAGAAGATCAAAAATGCATAATTACTTTGTAACATAGACATTTAACTTGATTTCTACTTTGAATGAGGATTAAAAAATCATTAATACTGTTTCACAGTTGATTTAAAATGAGTGGTTCATTTCAACATTTAAAAAATGGTATGAACTAAAAACACTTTTAATTATCAAGACATTGTAAAATAGTAATGATAATATGAAAAAGAGAGTGTTCTTTCAATTGATTCGTTCAGGATACAATTAGAAAGTCTCTGGATGAGCTAATTTGTATTTCTGGATTCAAATCAATGAAATAACAGTTCCTGTCCCATGAAGGTCTTCAGAGGCAGGTTTGACCAGAGGCCGAGTTCACTACATTAAACTATTTCCCCACTGTACTCTCATTTTTTATCATGTTAGGTGATTTTTATTAAAGTATTTAATAAGTAATTTTGTTAGGTTGTCTTTTTTTATCCTCTCCAGATAATTGTTGGTGGCGTTGCCAGCACTCCACAGGATGTGAGGCAGTATGCTTCATGTTCACTTCTAGCTGCAAGCATGAACTGTGACGGCAAGAAAGAGTGTAATGAAGAGACGAACAGAGGAGCCATTGAGGCCTGTGTTGAATGGCTGTTGGAAAATGAATTCATTAGTGTTCAGGACGGACAAGGTGATGCTCAACTAGTCATTACTTTTAACTCCACGTCTGCAAATTGAACAGCTCTGCTACACAGCAACACAACAACAACTGACTTCTAACAGTTTTTATTTGACTTATTTTCACTTTAAGGTTAATTATTGTACATTCTCTGATTATTCTGTGTTTCCAGATGAGAGGTACTGTCCCACCCAACTCGGTGCCGCCACTCTTTCCTCCTCTCTCTCCCCTCAAGAAGCTCTTGGAATTTTTGCAGATCTCCAGCGGGCCATGAAGGGCTTTGTACTTGAAAATGATTTGCACATTCTGTATTTGGTATGCACGCCTTAAATGTACCTTTATTAAAAAAGCATTTAATACATTTTTCAAACAAATCTTGTGTTGTAATTTTCAGATCACCCCACTGTACGCAGAGTGGACCACCATAGACTGGTATCAGTTCTTCTGCTTGTGGGAGCAGCTGCCGTCATCGATGAAGAGAGTGGCGGAGCTGGTCGGTGTCCAGGAGGGCTTCCTAGCTCGATCGGTCAGCGGAAAACTTGTTGTCAAGACAGAGAAGCAGCTCAGACACATGGCTATTCATAAACGGTAAAGCCCACTTCATCACATCACACACATAAAATAACTTTAAGCACATCTTTTGCTAACAACTTCTTATATTCACATTTCTTCTGATCAGTTTAGAACAACATATTTAGCTCAGCTATTTCATGAGACAGAAGCATGGACGATAAAACCAAAGAGAATCAAAAAGTCACTCCTGCACACTGTCTAAGCTTGCAGAAATGTATTGTTTTAATATCCTGATGCATGCTCAATAATCCAGGTAGAAAAATCCAAAAGGAGAAAGAAAAAAATCCAAAAGAAATCCACCATTGGGGAGTGGTGGCGCAGAGGTTAGAGAGGTGGGCCTGTGATCCGAAGATCGCCGGTTCACGCCCCGGCCCCGACAACATCAAAATTGTGGGTGGGGTAGGTGAAACACTCGCACTTCCCCCCACCCTCATTCGCCCCACTCTGGGCCCATGAGCAAGGCCCTTAACCCCCACCATCTGCTCCCTAAACAGGTCTCTCTTGAAAATGAGTTCTCATGGCTTAATGAGACTAACCTGGATAAATAAAGGCTAAATGAAAAAAAAAAATAAAAAATCCAAAAAAGTTCAATCTGGTCCTCTGGACATTCAAAATAATCAAAAAACAAAACAAAGCAAAAAAATATAGAAACGTTTCATCTCTCATCCAAGAGACTTCCTCAGTCTGAGGTGCTGTATTCAGCTCAGTCTCTTAAATAGCACCTTCTCAGAGTGGATCAACCAGTTTGCTGCTGACAACCAGAACCAGCTGCTCACATGGTCAAGAAGGACCATCAGCCTAACAATGGATCATTAGCACGCTGATGGCTGTTTACTATTCACAGGGGGTTGAGTGATACTAGCAGTCACAGCATTGTAAGAGGGGGACAGTTGAACCCAGACGCCTCCACCCCTGTTTAATGATGGACGATTTCTTTTCACAAAGATGGCCTCCTTTACTCCTCTCTCAAACCATGGTTCCTCTCTATCCAGGATGTGCACATCTTCATCCCTGAAAGAGTGACCGCTGGCCTGGAGATGAGTGTAGACCGCAGAATCCTGGCCTGATGATGTTGATCTTCTGTGCTGGGCCATCCTTTTGGCCAGTGGCTGTTTAGTTTCCCCGATGTAAGAATGATCACAGCCGTCCTGACACTGAATAGCATACACAACATTACTCTGTTCTATTTTGTATAAGCTTCGCCCTTTAAGGCTGTCGCTTGGAGGGATTATCCCGCTATGCGTTGCATTGCACTGAAAAAATTTAGTCCACGCCCACCTGCTGTGTGGGCCCCACCCGGTCCGTATAAATTACGTTAAGAGCGGGAAATCGGCTCCCATTTTTTCTTCAGCGAGCTATAGCACTGTCAGAAGAACGAAGAAGGAAAGTTGTGTAGATGACCAACCTTTGTTAAGGATGCTTGGCCCGGCAGTCGACCTCCGGTCGTCCGGTGAGTTCTCCTCCCCGAGGAGAAACTGACGAGCAGTCTTATTTCAAGGTAAGCGCCGAGGAATATTTCTCAGTGACAGGTCACTACACGCTGGACAACGCCATCTTGTAATTTTCCTCTTATCGCCGACCCTCGGAGCGAATCGGATGGTTCCTCCGGGACAGGCGGCGCTCAGCTGCAGCCCCCCGCTGCTCATTCCTTCCTGGAGAGCGTAGTGTCGGTGGAAGGGGGGCTGAGTGAATGCTCACCCCATCCCACCTCGTTTCGCATCGGCGATCACACCGCTCCTGGCCGACGGCGCCCTCAGGGGTTGCCCGGCGTAACCCAGGAGGCGGCTGACATGAAGGGACCCTTTTTTACGTCCCACGCCTTTTTCCGCCAGTTCGGATGATCCGGCGGGAAGGTTGTTTACTGGGTTCCATTCCGGCTCACCGTCTTGATCCATATGGCCTCGTGTTCCAACAGGACGTCCTACGGGCGAGGCCACAGACGGTTCTTTCCTGGTAGATTGGGGGAGCCGGTCTCCACAGTCCGTACCCATCTCCAGAGCAGGGGTTCACTGAGCGGAAAGTCCCTCCGTGCCCCCTGGAGCCGAGCCTGATGGAGGCTTCATTGGAGCAAGATGTCGAGGTGGACCAGCGTCCCGTGCCTCCGTTTAGCATAACCGAGACGGTGACACCGCTCTCCAACTGAGCTCACCAGCATGCATTCCACACGGCCGCAGCGAACAACACGTTACGCTGTTGGCGTACACGCTCAGAGGCGGGAAGTGACGTGCCTCTCTGTCCTTTGGCTCGCTCCGCTCTCGTAGCCGCTGCTTGCTAACGACGCTGCCGGCCCCTGCAGTACGCTCCGTCTACAGGGCAGCTGACGTCATCCTCAACCGGTGCGCCTCTTTTGCTGTGTGCCGCCCCGCATCGCAGCCGGAGAATGAGGTCACTCCACCTTCCTCTCAGGAGAGCTGCAAGAGTTTTTGTTGGAGGTCCTCTTTTCATCAGCGAGAGATCATTTCAAGATGCTCCACGGCTGCACAACGCCTCCCCAGCTCTGCTACGCCCGCTCCTCCCGTCAGACGTCCCCGGCATCCGGAAGTTCTTTTTTTTTTCCCGGATTTCGCCAACAGGGGGCCCTCCAGGACAACAACAGAGCTCAATGGAAGGTAACCAGGTGTCGGGTTGCTGGAGACTGCTTGCTGATGACACGATATGAAATAACATCATTTTATGATGAAGTGTCTTTTAGCCAGGCTGTCAGCATGGTTTATCTGACAAGCGGCTCCATCACACACACTCATCACGAATGAGCCTTTTAAGGTTGTTTTTCATTCACTGCCAGCTGTGCCGATACGCGCTCCCGCGGCATGAAAGCGCGCACGCAGCTCTCAGCGCCCGCCGTTCATGTCGATGTTAACGTGAGACCGCGGTACGAGCTCAACAACGTACCTCGCTCTCGGCAGGAGCGACACACGTTTTTTTCATCGCAGTGGTGTCAAACGCGCGCTCCCGCGGCGTCAGCAGCTTTCACAAGCCTCTTAGTTCTTTGCTCAGGCATCCTCGAATAAGATTTTCTGAACTAATACTGCAGCTCGTGGAATCACTCAAAAGTTCACGTGACTTGCAGCCAAGAATGAACGTGTTTCTGCAGACCGAGCAGTGGTAGCCTAGCTCCACCGATGCCGCGCGCTGCTTCCTGACCGCACCAGTGCCAACACGCGCTCACGCGGCGTCAGCAGCTGCACAAGACTTCACAACGGCTCGTCTCTGGCATCCGCGAAGAAGACCGAGCCAGTGGTAACTTCGCTCCACCGATTGCTCGCTTCTTCTTGACCGCACCAGTGCCAACTCGCGCCCCCGCGGCAATCCTGGCTTAAGGCGTTGCATGAATGAGGACGCGCACACACCACCCTTCAGGGCACGCCGGCTCATACGTGCACCCACTTCCCGAGCGTTTACACGGAGCAACTGCACACAACGTGAGCACAACACAGATGAGCTGCTCCACACAACGTCTTGCATGCTCGGGGACGCGCGTGTTTTTTCTTTCTCACTCAGCGCGCTCCAGCTCACATCAGCATGCATGTGAGTTTTTCACAGCATAAATGCGTGCCCGCCTTATAACTTATAACGGGTGCTTATGAGCGCGCTCCAGACGGATGGGCGAACTGTTTTCATCCGGGGATTCACGCTGCAGTCCAGCTCAAAACCCGGTGTGGAGGAACTCTGTGACTTTTTTTTCTGTCATTTATGAACAGATCTCGTCCCCTCTCGCCGAAGCTCAGGAAATTTTGTTTTAAATGTAATTTCTGGAGTCGCAAAGGAGAGGAAAACGCAAGGTCCCTCTCTCATCACTTCCTGGTCCCAACGAACTGGAAGATGAGATTTATTCTAGATTGTCAATCTCTGAACTGTGAGAAACAACACTCCATTATGCGTCCGAGCCGCCTTAACTCTGCTTTATCTGGACACCTGCTGTTGAGCAGTTGTACAGACAGGTGGCAGCAGTGCAACTCACGTGAATCGGTTGAGTGACATCAGCTGTTTTCCGTCAGCAGACCTATGTCACACATGTCAGTTTTTCACAGAGGCACACACATTTAACAAGCTGTGGGGCCGCTGTAGTTCTCCACACAGCAGCTCATTTAAATGTTTTTGGAGCGTTGCAGGGGCTCCTTGAATGTGACTCAACACTGACCTTAAGCTGCAGAATCATCAGGGTTTTTTGATTCACACAGACAGCAAGTGACTGTTGCGTACATACTGGCAGGAGATGTATGCGTTCAACCCATGTGCCACATTGTGAGACAGATGCTGTGTGGGGCACACCCAATCTGCTCTCCATTGGAGTGGGTACATCTCATGTATTCCGAACAGGGGGCGGATGTGATGTCCAAGATGGTCCTTTGCGGCACGGGGACCTGGGACCTTCCTCCCAGAGCTATGGCTCAGACACGGCAGGAATCCTGCCAGCGCCTGTGGACATGTAGCAACACGAGAGAACGCTCAATGTCAATTATAATTATCGAGGAGCCACGGGACGATCCACCGCTGGGTGGACGTGCCTGCTCACAGCCTGTGGTCGTAATGCTTTTTCACCTTCCTCTTTCCCTCTGATATCACGGTTTTTTGAACCGAGCTTAGGAGGAGGGACTGACAGCTCCTCTGCCCCAAGTGCGTGAACGCATCATGGTTCCCAGGCCTACAACATTTGTTATCAGGACACTCGTGGAACCTGCCGTGGAGGGAGGACGCTCTCCTCCAGGCGGGAGGAACGATCAGGAATTAATCAGAATAGGCCAGCACCTGTGGTTTGGCCGCTGTGCGTATCTTTTTGAGAGGATGGATCTCTCTCAAGATGTAGTGCGTACGATTCAGGATTCACGTGCTGCAACCACCACAGCGCTGTTCACATCAAGTGGTCAGTTTTTCAACACTGCTGTACAGAGAAAGGCGTAGAGGCCACTTCATGTCCACTGTTCGACATGCTGTCCTTTTCTGCAGCAGTCGATAGACAGAAATCTGGTGTCCAGCATGATTATCGTATGCTGCAGCCATGGTTTCTTCTTGTC